GTGAGGTCGTCTAACCAAGACAACATTCATAGTCATGTAAACGTACTAGAAGTAAACTCCCTCTATGATTGATGGGCTAGGTGCAGAGAGAGGAGGCTCTCCGAGAAAAATTGAAAAAGCCTACTAACGCGTTCATGACCATGTCATCTGTAAAATACAAATTGGGTTCCTGAATCCAGCAGTCATACAAATTGACATCCTTATGTCGCCTAGAAAGCAGAGTGCCGTGGGTTTGAATCCCACCCATGCAGGTCGTCTTTTAAAGATAGAGCTGTCCTGTGATTGTAGTTGACTTGTTTGCTTTGCCTTCCCTTAGGTGAGACAGACACCTCATGTTCATATGGTGTATGTTCGTTTGTTAACGGTTCCGCCCATTGCTCTGGGTGTGTGGTCTATGGCCCTAGTGCTATGGCAACCACCTGAGTATTATTCTACCTTGCTACCTAGTTGTTAACACATGATGTTATGCGTTAGTTCGTATCGCAACACCGTGAACTCCGGGTGTCCACGAATTAAAATCGGCTTTTGTGTGCATGCACTCGGCAATGATGAGTCAGTACAACCAAGAAAACGTTCAATAGTCACCAGACCCTTTTCCTCTCCTGAGGATGGGGTCTGGGGATGAAACTACTAGTAACCTAAGTGTAATGACAACAGGTGGTGCATGCCCAACAATACAGTAATGAGAAAAAAGTCAAAAGAACAACCTATTTTTATAACAGTACCCATGTTTAAATGTAATAGAGGTGGTAATTGCTTCATGATTGATGGGGCTAAGGGTGCAGAGAGAGCCTCCAGAAAACTGAAAAGGCCTACTTAATGCCCCCTTTCATGAACCATGCAATCAGTAAAATACAAATTTGACTCCTTATGTTTACATCAGCATAATTATATCAACCATAAAAAAAATCATGGAAAAGCGCGTTTTGTAGATTGTGGCTTACACAACAGGCTGACATTATGCGTTCATGCTGAAATAGATGTTTCCTCATTGATAAGAACAGTAGCTAGATGTCTGTAGAAAGGCCATTATTGCAGGTAGCACCTTTAGCTGCAGTATTATTTTTTGATTGTATTAGCCTCTGGCGAGAAGCTGGTTTTGAGGCCTGCATGCTGAACATGTCATAATCATTGTAGAGGCAGTCATAATCTTTTATAAACACACAGGTGGACCTATGCTTTATGGTAGATTGCACTGGCTCAATGGCCAGTCACATTGAGGCTGTCAAGAATAGTGTGAAGAACTTGAGGGAAGATCTGGTGAAGCAACACCGAGGATGTGACCTCCAATTTGCTTTTGTCAGATACACCGACTATGATGTCACCTGCAACAGAACCACTCATCTTGATTTTACCAAGTTAGATTTTACTGCATTATGTATAAGTTAAAGCACCGTGAGAGTGTACTACGGCTATTATTGAACGTGGTTTGCGGTCGAGAGCTGATAACACACGAGGTGTAGCCGCCGAGACCGGGATGCTGTCATGTAGCTTTTTGGATTTTTTTAATGACCCCTTGTTTCTTCCTTTTTGGTGCTTCAAGCCATCCCTATATCCCCTTCGTTTTAGAGAAATGATTTTCCCACTTGTTTCCACTATTTTTCACAGCTTATAACAACACTGCATAATTTTGTTACAGTCAATCTTCATTTGGTATGTTGTAGAGAGGTTAGCTACCCTGGACAAACTATATATAACTGTTTAAAGCAGTAGCTAATGGGCTGCTGGTACTTGAAGCAGGGGGTAGATTGTCTTCAACAAGGATGTAATTAGGTTGTGGTGGTTTATGGGCAGGCTTTAGTAATCAGAGTACAAGCCTCGGACAAAGAATGAAGGCTTATTTGTGTGTGCAAGGCTTACATAACACCGCGCAGACACTGCCCAGTTGTTCCCCGTGCAACTCAACAGCAAAACGCAAGTTGGAAATGTGTATATACACTGGACTTACAGACACCTGGAGGCTGAGAGTCCCACTGCAGGCCAAATGCGTGCGCGCAGTGCAGGAACAACGCCCCCGCCGGGCGGCCCGACCCTGCTCGGCGCATGCGGCTCACCGATGCTGAGTTAGCCACAAAATGGCGTTGTTCAGTGTCACCATGGAAGAGCTCCATGATCTACCGTAGTGACTTGCGGCAAGAAGCAAGCGATCGCTTGATGTCCATGCACACCTGCAGAGAATTTGGAGACGTTCAGCGAAAAAATCAGCGCTTCAACTGGTTTTGGTAAGGAGATAGCGGGTTTAGAAGAAGATGAAGAATATTTGGCGAGGGGGAGCGAGCCAACCTAGTCGTCGCAACGGCACGGGCCTTTATCGTTGGTACGTCGTGTAAATGCGCATGCGCGGCTTTGTACGCGCTTCTTCAAATTTTTACACATTTTCACACACGGCGCCTCGCGATATGCGCCGATCGATCTAGCCAGCGAGAGAACTCTCCTCCATTCGACGGCATGCGCTGCAACTTTCGGTGACTGACCGAGGCTGTACCTCTTCCCAATCTTCATGGTTCCAAGGTGCAACTTGCAAATACGCTAGGATTGCTCGTGCACATACTGCTGCATGCCAGCTGCCTGGTGGACCACGACTGACGAGCTGAAAGCGTAAGGTAATACCGTTCTGCTCACCGTCCTGCCAATGTACAATACGCATGTAACGGCGACATGTAGATCTGTCTTGCTTCACGAAAGGAAAGCTGTGCGCTGACAGCACGTTATGCAGCCCGAACATCGCGGGCAAATCCCAAGTTGGGTCGCTCCCGCTCGCCAACAATGTTCAACATTTATGACATAAAAATCGTGAACTCGCGTATGAACGAAGTATGCGCGTGGAGGCCAGTGAAGGAAGGTGGTACGGTATGAGGTCTTTGGGTAGATGTATAGCTAGATATGGGCCCGTAGACTATTGCTAGTGTGTTTTGAAGGCATAGCAAGTCATTCCCTCCGAGTTTTGTGGCGTTTTTGCACGCGGATAACGTAAGATTTCACATGTGCAATCCGTATATAGAGCTCCACCGACGCTAGTGAACTACTTACGTAGTCAGGCAGTGTAGAGACACAAACCTTATAGTACAGTAATTGAAAAAAAATTGGTCACGTGACAGCAACTGTGATCACTACCTATATCAATTCTCCTGCTTCTAGTGATGAGTCCCAATTCAACTCCTTTGTTGGTGGCATAAGTGCCCAAGGTGGAAGTGATGGACCAGAAGATGTAGGGGAGGACTGCAAGTGCCCTAAAAAAAAAACTCACCTGGAGGTCTAAGAGTTCCAGGGTAAGTGTAGCAACAGTAGCTACAGGTGCATACCACTGTTTATCATGTACATGCAGCTTGTCAGATGCCCAGGCATTCGGCAATTTTGTTATGATTTAAATAATGTTGGGCATTTTTCAAATTTAACACTTAATGAGCCGACATCACAAATGTGATGTGTTCCAGAGCATTCCATAAAAGTAAAAAAAATAATATATATGTAGGGTTTGCTGAAATCATTTGACAGATAGTAATAGCGCGACGGGCCGAGAAAGTAGAAGAAGTTTGCCGATTAATGTCTTCTAAGACAATGTGCCAACTGAAAAAGGGAGCCATTTGAATTGTGGCAGCTTCCTCCCTAAGCCATGTTGGATAGTGTGTATATTGCTTTCTGAGGGCGATGATGGGAACTACACATAAATGTTACAGTTGCACACCCGAAAGGAATAGGCTTGCCCAGAGTACAGAAGGCAGATTGCTCTCGCTAGGCAACTGTGCCAAAGAACCACCATTATACTGGCAAGGATCTGAACTGCAGACCTTGCAGTCCTAGCTAAATTAGTTGTTAACCACGGCGCGCAGCGCCAGCAAGGGTTTTCCGGTACTTGGCTGCGGTCGGTCTGTCGTTGTCGGTCTGTCGGTCGTCTGGTGTCTGTCATGTCGTTGTCTTCGTCTGTTTGTCTGTCCTCGCGAGTTCTCGCACTAAAGGCTAAGAAGCGCCAATGAGTGGCACCAAACGTGTGAAAAAACAGGAAAGGATATACTGGCTATTACTGAAAAGCTGCGTTCCAGAGAATCCTTTGTGAAAAATGCGAAAAAGCAAAACGTGTCGTCGATCGCGCGAGTTATCGCAAACATGCTACGAGGCGGCAAATGAGTGCCAACCAACAGGTGTGAACAACGAAAGAAGATGGATACGAATTTCCCTAAAAAGACTGCGTTCCAGAGAACTTCGTGAAACAAGAAAAAAGCAACGTGCGGTCGATCGCGCACCATTCCGCAGGTACACAGCGCGCACGCGTTCATATCAATTTTCGCTGAGCAGCGCTACGAGCCACGTTAAATATATACGATCTTGGGCTTCCGCAGTTTTGACCTCTGTTCAATGGATAAAACATGCTGAGCAAGGTATGTCCGCAATCAGCCTAATAGTTCAGGTGGCGAGCAGTTAGTGGAATGCAGCCAATGCCTTCCAATTTATAAAACGTCTGGCAAGAGCATTGAAAACAGAAGAAGAGCGGATAGAATGAATAAGAAATATGAGAGCCTCTGAAACACCTGAGCAATTGCTCTAACCGCTAATGCAACTACCTGGCTTACAGCGAGACTCGTGTTACTGGCCTCTCGACTGACGCATGGCCCAGATACAACTCGCGCGTTTAGCGCAGAGAGTTTGCACTTTAGTGCTTTCATTGTTTTTTTAGTTATGCCCCTCAAAGATATGCTCTAATACACATTATGCGGCTCGTCTCACTGAATACAAATTTATAAAGCAATATCAAATGTAATAACCTATTGTTACTGTACTCTAAGGTGCAAGTCATCCTCTGTAAAAATTTTAAGGTCCGTACAAATGCTGACTGTCCCTGTCATGGTAAATGTACCAGACAATATGGGAGACAACTACCCTGATGGTGACAGGGATGGAATCACCAACACAACAAAGACGATGACCAAAGGTCAAGAATCTAGATTCTAAACTGGTTTGGATACATCGA